AAGACCATGTGAAGCACTAGGCTAGCATACTCTCCCATCTGTCCTCCCATGCAGCTGGGAGGAGAACTTCTACCAAGTTTCGATTCAAAGAATCTTGGCTAACTGTTATGTACAAGCTGGGAACCGTGATTCATGGCAGATGGTTAGCCAAACAACCATATTAATAAATTCATGGTTTGAAGTTTGCTTGTTTAGCAACTAACCATTACAGTGGTACCTTGGTTTACAACCAAACGGAGGTCCATTTGTAAACCAAAACAGGTTGTAACCCAAGGCGTGCTTTCGCTAATGTGGCCTCCAAAATTTTTTTGTTTGTAATCCAAAAAAATGGGTTGTAATCCAAAAAAAGGTTGCAAACTGGGACATACACTTCCGGGTTTGACATGTTTGTAATCCAAAACATTTGCAAACCAAGACGTATGCAAACCAAGGTACCACTGTATATGATTTAATGTTTTTAAAGTAATGCCAAGCTGAGATTCTTTGAAACCAAACCTGGGAAAAGTCCTTCTAGCCATGGAACAGGAGTGGAAAGGAATAAATAACAAAGTTTGAAACTTTGTTTAAGGGCTCATGGAGGCTCATCCACATAGTGTTAAACCATGGTTTTGTGTATATGCAAATATAAGACCAAGTCTTATATTTAACCATATATGAGAATATTTTAAGCTCTTGTTCCACAGCTGTGGTCACTCAAATAAAAGAGATCTCTACCTTTTTAAAGGTAGTGCCATCTTTCTGATAAAATTCTATGTGTTGTGCTGTGAAATAAACCAACTCTTCAGCACTAGCTTAAGCACGGTAGCATTAAAAATTAGAATTTTTCATGTCAGAGTGATATTATGTTTACAACTTTTTTAAAATGACCAGAAAAGCATGTGGAATACAGTAAGCCTGCAATTTACATTGGGTTATGTTCTGGGGATCATGCCTAAAGCCAAAATAGTGTCTAGTCAAAACACATTGGGTTCAATGGCAGGTGGGATTGCCAAAGTCTTTTTTTCCTGGATGCCCACCCTCTATTTATTTGTTAAGTGTAAAGCTGAATGTGCACAAGCTAAATATACGTAATTTGAGGGGTTATTGTACATGTGGTTAATGGATTTCATAGTGCTGGAATAACGTAATGTTTCTCATTGAAGCACTGAAGTATTCATCAAGGACATGAAATCAGTCCTGAAGATATAATCAGCAAAACAAAAAGGTAGAGTCATCAGTCTATGATGGGAAAGCCAGCCAAGTCTCAGATTGTAGGGCTTTCTAAATCTGAAGTGTGTTGTACTAACCCTGCAGACAAGTTATTTCTAGTTTCCTTATGATTCCTTAACTCACCCTGGCAAGCAGTCTCCACAAACAGCATTGCTGGTAGCAGAACAATTGGCTTTCTGAAATCGATTTATTAGAGCGCAGTCCAAACATGGTTTGCACTTCTGAAAGCCCCTGTCCTCCTTGAATCTGTTTGGTCTGCATGTCATGCACTGGGCATCCTCCCCATATCCAAAGCCGCATTCCTGTAGGGATTAACAAGCAAGAACACACTATTCAGAAATTTAGAAGCGTGAATAAAGGGAGATTGCAAGGATGAAGCAAAGACTCAGTGTAATTATTTCCGAGAATAAGACTTTCTAGAGACAAAAGCAATCCTTTCAGCAAGTTCAAATGTGCCTTCCACTACTAATAATCTCCCTTACTTCTATAAGCAATACTTATTCATCTACTTTATTTGAGAAACGGCTAAGCATTTGAATGATAAAGGACTCCATGGTCTCCCACAGCTACATTATTACAGGCTTATGGGAATTATTGAGCTGTCCATTATTAATTAAGCTAGGTTTGTGAAAATGCAGAAGCTCTAAGTTCTTAGACACTTACACCAAAACAGGAAAAATAAAAGCATATCAAATGATAGCAGCTAAAATAAGAAAGTAAATAACCATTTGCAACTGTTTGAAATATGCATCTTTCATCTTTATAATAAAGTACAAAACTCTGCTTTTCACTAAAAAACAAGGCATCATGGATCCAATTTTTAAAAACCCAAATATTAACTACCAACATTAACATGTTTTCAATGTTTATTAGCAACACTGAGAACATAGTGAGGAGCTGGTGCTATGTATTTAAAATAGCTAGAATATGATAGTAATTTATTTAGCAAAATTGGAGTGCAAATTACTTTATTTAAGGAATGTGTGCACCTTCCTTCAATATTTCCAAGGTGGTTCACACAAATGATATAATACAATAAAACAGCATCAATTATATTAATAAAATAGTAAAGCAAAACTGAATAAAAACAGCAACATAAAATATACCATTAAGTTAAAATTCTTGAGAAAATAAAAGGGTATTTGACTGATGTGGAGGATACATTACCTCTAGCGCTCTGAGAAGTGAATTATTTAAGCAAGGTGCCACTATGAAGAAGGCCTCCCCAGTCACCACCACCCGACTCATTTTAGATGTCTGGGGAGGTCTACTGAAAATAACCTCTGTGCATAGGCAGGTTTATGTGGGAGTCCACCATGTTGCTATTTTAGAGTGCTCATTATAAAGCCTTCCCTTACCCAATTCCTTGCATATTTTTGTGGCAGTTTGCAGCCACTGTTTGAGTGCAAATTTAAAATGAATTGGTTTCTTCACTGTGTGGTACCAAATGTTTAGGGGGTCATACAGTAAGCATGATGACATCAAGTGCTATGTAGTCAACCAGATATGGTCCTGCGATGTCACTGAGTTCTCCAGTTGTCCTCACTCTAAAAAGGGAGTGCAAGTGTATCCCACACTTTCCTATTTCTTTGGGAAACCCTTTCCCTCCTTGTAATTTTCTATTGCCAAAACCAGCCAAGTGGTGTCTTTCTTGCAAAAGCTAACTCTACAAAAGCCCTCTGCTAGACATAATGATTAGCTTTGCCTTTAGGAAGCAGCTGAAAGACTCTCTCATTTGGCTTTAGGGAGGTTAAAGTTATGCCTGTTGTTGAAATTTTTTTTTACTAAGATCAAATTCTTATTCAGAGTCATAAGAGTGGGCTACAATGTTCATAGTGGTCCCTTTTTGATAATAATAAGCACCAGTACGTCATTGCTGCAAATATATTCCATAAACAAACTGCAAGGGATATCTGCATTTATATTGTTCTGGCAAATGGTAGTGGATAGGGGTGATATCAGGAACAAGAGTTTTAGAAACAGACACTTCTCCCACATCCTTCCCTTAAATACTAGATAAACTAAAAATACAGCATTTTTATATGAAGTAATTTGTTTCTTTTTAAAAAGCATATTGTATTCTGAAATGTGCATATTGTAGTTAGAGTTGCAAAGCATATTGTTTGAAAGAGCTAATTTTGAATGACAAAATGTTATCCAGTAACTGCTTCAAAATAGTTCCTTTGAAAGACTTGCCAAAGATATGGAAGATATGTTTTAAATAGCACATACAATAGACCAGTTTCCTGATTACTATGTTAAAAGCAAGCAAGATAATCTAATGTATATCTAATTTAATGGACAAAGAATTGGACAAAGTATAATAATTTATTTAGAAATTATCTATAAGCCTTCAGACTGATGCAAGCTATAACTAGGGCTAAACCCAAATGGCCCCTCAAATTTCACAGGCATATTTGACAAGGCATTAAAGGCAATGCATTTTGAGTGAGTATTATTTTTTGGGTTTAGGAAAACACTCACTGGCACTCTTGAAGTTCTGTCAGGCTAGTGGCTGCCATTCCTCCCCAACCTCCATATCACAAAGAAAGAGGCACTGAATTAAGGGAGAGAAACAAAAACAGTGGCTGCCACCTTGATGGCTCTTCAAGAACTCAAATGTCATCAACCACTCCCCAAAAGAAGCCTGCTAAAAACAGTGGGAGGGACATGAATCTGACCTTTAGACAGTTTGTAAGTAAACCAATTCTTAACTTCCAAACCTGTGGTCTTTTCCTATGCTGGGGGTAGAGAGATGTTTTGGAACTCACAAGAGCCTATTTTAAAGGTCTAACATTCCTTATTTCCATGCTTTAGTTTGCTGCGTATTTTGTGATTTTAAATCTCTGCTAAGGGTTCTCTCATCAAAGAGTACTTGCCCCAAACTTAAGATCTTGGCAACCAGGAATTTTTACCTGTATTTTCTTGAACCAACAGATACAAGCTGTGTATTGCTAACAGCGTACTGCTAACAGTGATTCCATCAAACAAGGGGAAGTGAATTGTTGTAGTGAATTCCATAGCCATGAGTTAATAATACAAACACACATGAAGTTTATTTCCTCTTCTTCCCTCACCCCCTCTCTCTCCCAAACAGCCCTGTCTCTCTTCCCCGTACCCCACTTTACTGGCTTCTCTATCAGGGCTTGGTCTAGTCATTTCATTGCTGGGACAAGGGTCCACCCTAGAAGATGCCATCTACCAACTGGAGACAGCAGTAGAGGAAGCCACCCAGGGGCATGGACGAGCCACCCCATTCCTTTCTCTCTGCAACCACATTCTGCCCCTTCTCAGTGCTTCATGCGACAAAGTAAAAGAAAACATAAAACCCTGTGTATTCCTAAGCATTTGAGTATTTTACTTGGGGGTATCATGACCCCCAAAGACTTTTCAGATATATTAATCCAACAGAGTGACAGAACTGGAGTAGAGGCAGAACTTTTAAGTCAGTCAGCCTCACTGACTCAATCTTCTGCTGCTCTCTTACCAAAATATCCCAGGCCACGGAGGGCTGGCAGAAGGGGGGGGATATGGTAAGAATATGAAGGACCAAATGTGATCTTCCCAGAAGAAGCTCCCGCAAGGAAGCTGGGCAGAGAATGACAAGTCTTTTCCTGTGAGAACCAAGGCAACAGCCCCCTCCTCATTCTACCTCCCCAAATCTCTCAGTTCTGTAGTGAGCTTCCACCTGAGCCCATAGTAGAGGAGAGCAGCAGCAAATCAGCTGAGAAAGGAGAAAGCTGCAGCCTGAATGAAACTCCCGTTCTGCCCCAGCAGGAAAGGGAAGAACAGCCAATGTTTTGATTTATACTTGCATGTGAACATGTATCTTACATGTGTATTCACTGTAAGATACATGTTCACAAGCAAGTATAAATAAAATGTGGTTTTGGAGATCTTTAATATGGAGGCAGTTGTGTACCACAGGAGTCTGGATAATGCAATGGTAGAAAGATTTGGAAATTAGACAAGGTAGAAATTGGAAGGACAGGTAAAACAGCAATAGTTATCTATTCTGAAGAAGTAGGGAGAGCAGAAAGACACCATTCCATGAGTTCCACCATAGCCTGCAGGTGTGAAGTAATGACTTTATATTTGGGTGGTCCTGTTTTGCTTCCAAACTTACAGGCACTTGGCCACCCAAGCAAATGGGAGGAGAAGACTCTGCCCCTGGAGATCTAAGTATCATAGGTTGTTGGACAAAAATCAGGTAAGATTTTAATGAGCAACGTTGCTCTGAGGTGTCAGAAACTGAAGAGCTAATATTTACCATCTATCCAAAGATAAAAGATGAAAAGAAGCAGTTAACCAAGGGAGAGGCTTTCACAAAAGATGGTTAGACAACCCTAAGTAAATCTAATCTGAGTCACCACCAGAATATCGCAGCTTCTGTCATGAACTCTCAGTGTACACTACTTTCTATGGGAAACATCTTGCTAAAGGACTATTATCAGAATTCATCCACATTTGGATTTGTTGTTGTTGAGCTCAAATTAGGCAAACCAACCATGGTTAAGAAAAATCCACTGGGTTTGACCACAACCCCAAACTTTAGTTTAAAAAAGACACAATTTGTAAGCTAACAAGAAACCATGGATTCACTTCTCGGTTTGCTGTTAACAACAGCAAGTTGCCTAGGGTGGGTTCAGATGTTCAAGCAAGTCACAACAAATAATTATTTAGCTTTACATGCAAATGCCATCAGTCCGTAGCATAAAAATACTTTCTGCTCTTCCAAGTGGCAAAAAGCACATAGCAGCAGTATTAAATGTTATTTATGACACTCATAAGATGCACAGCTTTTCATTTAACTAAAAGCAGCGAAGAAAGGGTGTAATGTTCTTTAAGAATAAAATCTCCTACTAAATTTTAAGCTTGTGGATGCTCTGAGCAAATCAGTTCAAAGAAAGCAGAAACCACAAAGCTTCTGTTTTAACATTTTTACTCCAGAACCAAATATGGCTAAGAATCTAATCACATATTTCATGTTTTTGTATATAAAGGAATGGCCTAAAAGTTATGAATAGCCTCATAACTATATAAAATGACTCTGACAAAGTGTATCACAGAATATTGGTTGCTGTGAATACCAGCTGCTGTGAAACACAAATGTGAGGGTGCCATTGTGCATGTGTCATCTTTGTGGGCTTCCCATAGACATCTGGTAGGCCTCTATGGGAAAGCAATGCTGGATTAGATGGGCCTTTGGGCCTAACCTAGCAGAACTGTTCTTAAATTCTTAATACTAGGAATCTAAATATTTTTAACAAAACACTCGCTTGTCATTTCTAAGTGCCATTTCACAACCCTCAGTGACTCAATACATAATACTCAAGTTAATCTCAATAACTGCGAAATAGGATCAAAAGAAAAAATGGTTTAGAGAATGTGAATACATGCATACCTTAGACAGTTCCATGCCAGGTCCACATTGTTTGCATAGCATACAGTTTCCATCATGATCTCTGAACTCTTGCTCTCTACAGTCTCCAGTTTCACAAATTACAGTGTTTGTCTAAAAATGAAAATATAAAATTAATTAATAGTGCTTCAGTTAATCTCTTTCTATTGGTATAATCCTACATGTCTTGCTCCTCCCCCCTGGTGCTTTCAAGGTGTTGAAATTGCGCTCCCTGGCTGCAGTCCTGTATGCACATATCTGGGATTAGGTAAATGCCATCGAACGTTTGGCATCTGGCCCTTCTTAGGATCCAGAGCCTCTGACACCCCACACTGAAACACTCCATTTCAGGCCTTTTTGCAGGCTATAGTCAGTGAGAGGACCATTGGCAGTAGCCTCCAATCTTGCTGGTTGAAACAGTAACCTTACATTATTGGAGCTCTCTTTACTGGTGGATAAACCTATGCTTTATCCTAATCACCTCCAGTAGGAAAAATCTTTGAAAGCAAATTACTGATGCAACATCTGTGCTTAGATTCATTTTATCATTAAGACATGTAACTGAAATAGTTGTAACTTTTATCTATCTAATTAAATTGGTTTAGAAGCAAAGTCAAATTGGTGATATGTATCTGTGGTACCTTAAAATATAGTTAACATTTGTATTTTTGAAGTGTTTTCCTAGAAGTAGATGCTATTGACAGAAATGCACCACCCCTCACTGAAGCAAGTTGGTTCTATTAGGCAGAGCTAAGGAATCGTTAAATTAATTTTTTTAAGTGTACAAATATCAAAATTCTATTGACAAACAACGTAAGCTAAAATTACAAAAATCTTTAAAAATCACTAAGACAAAAATAATATGCTACATCTTAGTATTTGAAATTGTGCAAAATAGGTATTTACTCAGAAATAAGTCCCACTGTATTCACTAAGGCTCACTGACAGAGAAATCTATTTAGCATTACAGCCTTACACACATAACTCCCATTTAAAATCAGTGGTACTTAAATTAACTATTTGTTTAAGTCCTACACACATCTGTGAGACAAATACATGTCATTTTCAATATTACTTCAACATTATTATTCAAGAGCGTGGGTGGTGACTTCTAAGTATTGTTATTCTGCAAGTATGAGCTAGAGGTTTGCTAACCTTAACTAAGCTTGTAACAACACCACATTCAGAACTAACATGATCCTACATTCATTGCCTCTTGGTGAAGCATGAACTGCTTTGGGCTAATTCACAATATCTTAATCATCTGAATTTTATCAATAATCTTATAGAGCCTTCCCAAACTGTTGACCTTCAGATGTTTTATACAACAGCCCCAACCAGCATGGCCAACGATTAGGGATGCTAGTTCTGGCCAGTTATTCTGCAATTGCCACTGATTACTAAGAAAAACTATCTCCAATATCTTCCAAGAGGACATGAACACTTCCTCTCAAGCTTCCCAGTATTTCCACACCGTTGATCAGTTCCTCCCTGTTGGTGAGGACCATGTCCAAGATAGATGATCCTCATGTTGCTTCTTCCATTTTCTGGGAAATAAACTTGTCAGCAAGGCAATGGGGGAATTTGTTGGATCGTACATTCTTGGTGGAGTTTTGAGTTCCAACAAATATTGGAGAAGCATAAGTCTCCCATGACTACTGTATATCTCTTTGTTGAATGTTTGGTAATCTACTCCAGGAAGGCATCCAAGTCTTTAGTCTTCAGTCTTCAGTCTTGCTTGGCTGTCTATAGCAGACACTAAGGTAACTGTTGCTTGCCTCTACAACAATTATTAGCCATATAATTTCTATCTGCCCTCCATCTTCCAGATCATGGAACTCTTCACAAGTGCATACATCCTTTACATACAATGCTACTCCTCCTCCTTTCTTGTTTGGTCTATTCCTTTTGAACAGGTTATATGCTTCAGTTTCTACATTCCAGTCATCAGTCTCATACCACCAGATTTCAATAATGCCTATTAGGTCATATTTGCCTTCCTGTTTTAAGAGCTCAAATTTGTCTTGCTTGTTTCCCATATAGTGAGCATTAGTATAGAAATAACTATCCCTCCAGCTGCTACCATCTTGTAGTTTCTTGTCCTTTAAGCAGTTTCTGGAGCACCACCTCAGTTACCTATGCATCAATGAAGCTATTATACCCAATACCAGGTGTTCCCCTGCTGTTTGTAAAATTGTCTCCCACCCCATAAGAATTTAGTTTAAAGTTCTCCTGATCAGGTTTGCAAGACTCTTAAGCAAATATATTCTTGCCAACCGCTGTGAGGTGCAACCCATATCTTGCCAGATGTCCTTCCTCAAAACAGAGGAGACCATAGTCCAAGAAGCCAAACTTTTCCTGACAACACCACTTGCGCAGCCAGTGGTTTACTTTGAGTATTTTCCTCTCTCTTCCTATGCCACAAATATCATCAGGAAAGAGTGTTGAAAAAGCCACCTTTGCCCCAAGGCTCTTCAACTTCCTGCCCAGAGTTTCATAGCCCATGCTATATGTCAAAGGCTGTGTCTGGCGGTATTGTTCGTACCCACACAAATCAGAAGGGTTGTCGTCAGTGGGGTTTATAAAATTTGACGACAACTCCGTCACACTGTAAATCTATGCACCTGGGAGACAGCAAACCTCCCAGGACATCTTGTTACTACTGAACACTGTTGTCTCTGATTCCCTCAGTAGGGAGTCATCTACTACCACCACTTGTGCAACCCACTGGAGCATAAATTCACAACACACATCAAGAAATTGTCTACTTACAAAACATATTAGAAGTATCAGCAACTTCAGCATGCTAGAATGCCACTGTGACCTTTTTGTATCCATTTCTGAAGTCTTTCCTTTAATGAAGTACTAAATCTGAAAAAAGAAAATAAGTTTAAAACTGCAGGGTGGATGAACTAGCAGTGTTGCATCTAGGTTTGAGGCCTGCACAATGGTGAGTAATCACATATGGGAAAACTGGTAACTCCTGAAAATCTGACCTAGTCCTTACAGAACTGTTTGGGCTGTGCTACTTTAGTCTTCCACGTGCTCCATAGAGAAATACATTCCTCCACATATATACTAAATGACAGAATGAAGGGTTTTTAGCCTAGCGTTCTCCCTGCCCTCCAATATAGTTTTCTACATGCAGTAAATGTTTTCGTACAAAGGAACATTCAGTCATTTGTTCACTCTCACCTGGGATCCAAAGTGGTACATCCTAATCAGCATTACTATCTAAGTTACTGCAACTCTGAACTGTAGCAAAGTCTCCAATAATCCAGTCACAGCCACTGGCTCATCAAAAGTAAATCTCTACTGGCCATGAACAAGAGAGTTTGTTTGGTGCTAAGAATCAAGCCAAACATAAACCTGAACCAAACTCAGCACAGAACCTTTCTCTTTCCTGATTTAGAACCCCAATTCTAATTTGAAAACCTATGTTGGACATAAACATAGATAGAAAATCTGCCTGATGCACAAGGAACATAGCTAAAGGTCCACACATGCACTTGGTTTGGGAAGCAACTCATTGAGCCAGCATTTGGCTAGAATGGCATGCAAATATCTCTAATATAATAATATATAATATAATATATATAATATATATAAAATATCACATTGCACATTGGCTACATAGACAAGTGGCAGTGTGCTGAGCTGCTGAGCTGGTGGGTGGGAGGATCCAAAGGACAGAGACAGACCCAGGAAATGTGAGCAGGAGGGTGATCTAGGCAAGGTGAGGAAGAGGGATCTGGAGGATGGAGATATGGATGGACAGGCAGCCAAGACAAAATTAGAAGGAAGAGGAAAGAAGAGAAGGGAGCCATGTGCAAGCAAGTGGCTCAGGCAAGCAAACGAGCAATGGCAAGAGCTAAGGGTTTTTTGTTTTTGTTTTGCCAAGGTGTAAAGAGGAATAGGTGAGGTTGGTGGGTCTTGTCATCTGGGCAGCCCTGGCCCTCCATACACACTGTCTTAGCTTGTGACCTGGGTAGGTCATTTTGGTGCTGCAAAAACTATGTGGGAAGAAGCAAAAAACCAACTAACTATACTGGAATAAAACTATTAGCAAAGGAGGGACAACAAATTTGATACAGCTTTTCTTATATATAATTGGTCATACACTTTAAAAGCTGGGTATGCTAGCTTTTTATTACGATCCAAATATACTATTTTTATATATCTATATTCAAGGCTGAAAAAGAGCAGCCATATAAATAATGTCTGAATACTAGGTACCCGTCCCATTCTTCAGTCACTTATCTCCTCCTCACTCTCAGACTTAGGGCTCTTGGGTTCAAGGTGAGCTGCAGCAGTCACGTCCAATGATTCAAAGAACCACAAGTGCATATAACTTCAGATATGCAAATAGTCCCCACAAGGCCTACTCAAAAAAATCTTCATCTCATTTGTGCCCGAAGAGCTATGTGCACAGCTCACATGATTATGTGCTTGATTTCTGGGTCTGCTGATCCCAAGGGCTAGATGATAATTAATGTTATTGTTGGTAACAAGGCAACTGGCAGACTGTAATGCAAAATAAAACAAATCACTATTATAATGTCCAAGTGCACTCCTTTTTTCTAGGTTTCCAGTTTCAAGAGGCCTTTCATAAAATCCTTATAGTACAGTACACTGGTGATGCATGTTTACAACTTATATGCTTAATTATGGTATTTGGAAATTCAAAGGCTGGTAATGATAAACTAAACTAAATAGGAACAATTGTGATATGTGGCAATACTATGATAATAAAATTGTACAACAGAACAAGAGGTAACCAACTTTTTGGGGCCCATCTGCAAAAGAGCTAGATCTGTCAGTTATTATCTGATCCCATCCAAAGGCTTGGACTAACAAATAATATATTAAAAGAATCAGAAATTAAACTAGTATAGAAAAAACATCATAGCAAGTATTCTATCAGGTACTTTCTGGAGAGCAGAAAGGATAGGGTATAAATTTAATAAACAATAATCATGCTAAGATAATGGAATGAGTCTTACTGTATTTACCTGAAAAAGACTCATTCCATAGCTGATCCACAGTGCCCCTCCCAATTGGCTAGTCACTTCTCAGGTAGTGGGACAGACAGAAAGGCTCCTTCCACTGGCCTGCTTTGACACATTTGTACTTTTTGTGCCATCTGCTCTAAGTTTTTCCAATCAATAACTAAGGGAAGGATCTAAATATAATAAAAGTAAATTCCGCCTCTGTACCCAATTATCTCTGGTTAACAAATGCCAGCAAAATAATACAAAAAGCTATGTGTACATATTTTATATTTTTTTATGAAGCTTTCTACAGAGATATTCTTTTCTTATGCAATTCTTTGAGTATTTTTATATTGAATAGCAAATCTAACATTTTCCTATGAACATTGCCAAACCCAGTACCAGTGTCAGGAATTTCACATGCAGAAACTAAGTCGTACACTTCAAAAGCCAAACATTTCACATCGCATAATTCTACTACTAGCCTAGTACATCTGCTCATCTTGCTGTGAACTCTAAGCCGATTGCCTCATCTATATATTGAAGAATTACTCAGCCTTCAAAATAGAGCAATTCATCAAAAGGCTCTGAGTTGAAGTTTACAACTGCTGGAACTTCCAAAAAGAAGTCTGAGAACATCTGGATATTAAATTTCAGAGAACTCGTTTAGCCTCAAAAGTTGCAAATTCTCTTCAGTACTTTACAGCAGATACGTCTGAACGCTCTAATCACACAAGTTTTATAGGCACTTTTCAATTCACAGAAACATCTCAAGAGACGGCTCAGCTAATATACGTTGGAAGAGTATTCAATGTAGCATGCAGTATGATCCCTGAATTGGAATATGCAGTAATAACATAGTGCTTTTCACAAAGAAAATTAGATTAAAAAATAAAAGGACTGGAACATACAAATAACTGACTGACTTGCCTGGAAGCAAGTCTTGAAAGGAATGAAACTGTGCCAACTGCGTGTTTCCTGTTTCTGTCTCCAGTTCAAACATTTCTGGTTTAAAAACAGACATTACTGCACTTAATAATAGGCTGCTATTGGGCAAATTTGTTCTCTACTGCTATCAAGTGGCACTGTACTGATGTCAGTTGGACACAAGCCATTCAGTCTATCCTTTTCCTGTGTATACAGAGAGCAAAATATGTCCAGAAATGTTGTATCCCAAATCCAACTAATGTAGACATTTTGTTTCTACTTATTATTAATAATGAGTTTTAATTAACAATATAAAAATCCCCTACCAAGGGATAGCCACATCAACATAAAACATTCATTAGAAAATACTGTTTTGCAAAGGAAATGAATGTTTCTGCTAAATTGTCCAAATTCTAACTTAAGCTGTGATCTGTCCCCATCCACATCTGATAGCAGCTAGTAATATAAGCACATGGGTGCCTAAAGAGAAGTATCTCCCAAGTTTGTTTTAAGTATAACAAGAGAACAATTTTAATGTGAATGTGGCCATATATCTGGGATACATAATCCTTCATAACTTTTAAACCGAGTTCCAAAACATACATCAGTCTGCATGTTGTGGTGGGCAGCATTATATTTTGTTTTTCCATATGTAAACATGCAACAATTTAAAACTACAACACCTATTGTTTCAGCCAGTCAGACTCCATGAAGTTGGACCTCTATTTCTCATTTTCATTCTGTATGGTTTAGAATAACTAAAAACTGTTATTCCATTACATTGCTTTAGAAAAAATGGTCACTAAGCATTTTAAAAACCTTGTACAGCCCATATCACTAACAGTATGAACACAGTATGTGAACTGCCCTGAGACTGCCGGGTATAGGGTGGTATATAAATTCAATAAATAATAATAACATGACAAATAAAAATGATCAGCTTAAGTTAGAGATAAAATATCTTATAAAGCTTGAAATATTCAAAAACCTCAGACTTCTTATGCTATATTCTGTTTGCAGTGCATGCAGAAAATGAATAGGCAAACAAATAGGTTGTAAGGTTTTTATAATTATTTTCATAGCGCTGTCAATGTGCATATTGCTTTATTTTATTTTATTGTTGTTAGCCGCCCTGAGCCCAGCTTCGGCTGGGAAGGGCGGGATATAAATAAAATTTATTATTTATTATTTATTATAGTACTTTTCAAAGTGGAAGCAAAGACAGATCTCTTCCTCGAGGGACTAACAGTGCAGTCCTAGGCAATATACTCACAAGCCCCACTAGTTCAATGAAACTTTGTCCCAGGTATGTCACGTATAGTTTGCTCCCTTACAAACTAGGTTTCTTTTGGGTAAGTGGGTAGGGAAGACAAAGAGAGAGAGAGAGAGAACAGTGTGGAGGGTCGTAGTATTAAGTTGACATGTTCAATCCCCCTGCCTCTATTCGTCTCCCCACAAAGCTGAAGTACCACATGCTATGTCAGTATGGTGTTGTGGTTAGAGTATTGGCCTAAGACCAGGGAGACCAGGATTCAAAACCCCACTCAACCATGAAGCTCACTAAGTGACCTTGGAACAGTCACTGCCTGTCAGGCTAACCTACTTCACAGGGTTGTTGGCATCCATCTATCTCAATAGACAATGGAGTGTGCCTCCAGGGATGAAGTCAAACTGCTGTGTTAGCAGCACTGAAGTGACCTTCCCAGAGCACAAGCCTGGGCAGTGTGTATGGAGGTCCTGGATTGGCGACAAGACACCTCCTCCCCGGCCTTGCTGATGTGGTCCAAAGGAAAGCAGAGCAACACATTTGGCACCAGCTTGGCTGCAGGAGTTGCTGGAAGGCGGTACCATCCAAACATCTTAGAGACTCCACTCCAGATTTGTGTAGGGTTTATGGTAGTTCTTAGCCTTTTGTTCTTCTGAAGTTATCCCGCAAGGCCACGGAGGTTTAGGATCAGTGTTTTCCTTCTCCTAGATGGGCTACCTTCCCAGGGTGACAAACCCCATCTGCCCCTCACTTCCCTCTACAGAAAGTCCAGAAACCACCTTATTGACCATTGGATCCACTGTTGGTCTTGTCTGCTCAATCTGCCAGAGACTGTCTTCATAAACAGGAGAAGCCCCTAACTCATGAAGGGTTTGAGATCCATCAGCTACCCTCACCTGGTTTGATGGGATTAAAGAAGGGGCAGAACTATGTGCGCTACCTTGAGCTCCTTGGATAAAAGGTGGGGTATAAATGCAATAAGTAAGTAAAAATAATACCACTAACTATTCAAGCTAACTATTCTTTGTTGCTTTACTATTACTGCACTTCTATTTGTAAGTGGTGCAGTGGTTAGACTATTAGAATAGGACAGAGGAAATTAGGGCTCAAACCCCTAAGCCGTGAAACTAACTTGGGCCAGTCACAGTCTCTCAGCCTTACCTACCTCACTGAGTTGGTGTGACAGATAGATAAGAACATTCAGGGGTAAGTAGTTTCAAAAGCAGAAACTAAGTTTAAAATATAGCTTTCATATAAGTTGTGTGTATGCCAACCCTAATTTCTTAAAATCAAAAGCATCTGTAGGAGTCTGAAATCTTATTTGGAGAATCAGATTTGGGAGAAGAGAAGAGTCTGTTTAATACTTGTTGTTTTTCCACTTAGCATTGTCCTCAGGCTACCCAGGAATTCTAAATGAACTGGTGGGGATGCAAGAACCCCACCCCACCCCAAGTTTAAGCAGTGCACAATAGCTAGGATAAAAAGGTAAAGGTAAAGGACCCCTGACAGTTAAGTTCAGTTGTGAATGACTCTGGGGTTGCGGCACTCATCTCACTTTAGTGGCCAAGGGAGCTGACGTTTGTCCACAGACAGTTTTTCCAGGTCATGTGGCCAGCACGACTAAGCCGCTTCTGGCGAAACCAGAGCAGCGCACAGAAACGCCCTTTACCTTCCCACCAGAGTGGTACATATTTATCTACATGACCTTTGACGTGCTTTTGAACTGCTAGGTTGGCAGGAGCTGGGACCGAGCAATGGGAACTCACCTCGTCATGGGGAATCGAACCGCTGACCTTCCGATTGGCAAGCCCTAGGCTCAGTGGTTTAGACCACAGGAAAGAGCTATTTTAGGGATGCCCAAAGTCTTTGGCATCCCCAGTGGGATTGCACTTTTTTAATTATTATTTAGACCCTAACACCATATCACAAAATAATTTTTTTAAAGTCCCCCTAGTTTTGAAAACACTGGGCTAAATAACAGGGAATAGGTTTCACCGTTGAGGAAATAGTAAATATGAGCAACTTCAAATGTATTGGAAGTTTGTTATGGCTGTACTGTTTCTTGATTAGTGTTCTGGATAGGCTTAGCTACACTGAAATCATAAATTGAAATGGTTGAAATTACTGTACTGTCACTCTAAAATGTTTCTGCTATCATCTAATTTCAGGTATTCATGTGTGGTACTTTGGTATAATTTCACTGTATGCATTTCCTGATCTTACTTTACAGCAAATATATTTTGTATTTATGTCAATTACATACAGTTAACACAAGGAAAACACTATGGAGCTAATAAGCCAGACAACACAACACAAACAGCTCAGGTGGATAACATAATACATATTTATGTAGCTACAAGAAAATATAAACAGATGTCATGGAGATTAGCTTCTGCAATTAGCAAAATACAACGTGTAATAAATCAATAAAGCATTAATCTATCCCACTCAGCACCTTCTATCTGCTTCCCCCAGCCTCCTCAACTTATAAACCTAGTTGCACAAACTTGACATCAATAAAGGCTCCTACATTCATATCACCAATGTATTTTCTTTAGATTTCACATGCAAAGAGAAGAGGAACAATGTATAATAAAGATACTTGACTATTGAGTCCTGGCCTCCTTGACACATAAGCTTTTGATAAACTATTACGTCTCACACTTTCCCCATGCAATTCTTACGTTTGAGAAAAGATTAAAACCTCCACTTATCCATACTATTTTAGGCACCAGGGAAAAAAAGAATACCATAAGACGACTAAACAACAACAACAATGCAAGTGCAGAAGATGGCCAGTGTCAATAACATAGAATTGCATGAATCTACACTCCTTATAAACAACACACTTCAAAATTTTCCCATTTTGCCAATACCAAATCCCATTTTTTTTAAATACTCCCAGCACATCTGGAAGAACATGTCTATCCTACTACGTTTCCTACACTTTGGAATGGTAGATCTCAAGGGTTATATTGATAGATTGGCAAAATACTTCTGCTCCTCTTTTTGTTATGCTAAAAAGTATAAAGGTCTTTTGAACAAATAAAGTTTTTTAGGTAGTTAATGAATTACTCCCCCATATTTCTAAATTCCAATAAATTAGGTTAAATATGAGAACCCATTCCAGAAATGAAAGGTAAATGAATGGGTGACTTGGCAAATATGAGGTCTGTCTTTTCTCCCTAACCACACCAACACATCCAAAGGCAAAGAGTCAACTGCAGATTGTTGAATCAACTTCTAATAAATCTGCAATTAAGGGTAATGCCAAGCAGCATATTGAGCCAAAAAAAGGAACATCAAGATCCCACACAGCCACAGACCTTTAGAACTTACTTCTATGTAGTCTGATTTATTTTTTTTACCAACACACGACAAAATAGCTAACCAGGCACTACTACTTTGTTAAGGCTTTTCCTGACAACTTAAGGGCAAGGAAAAAAACTCAGCAGCCTTAGCAACACGTGTACTTACTATTACGTACAATCCATGCCAGCAGATTTTTTTTCCCCAAAGGCCAGTGCTTCAAATCCCTTTCTGACATAGTGTATAATGGGCCATAGTTCAACTGGTAAAGTTATTGCCAGTTAGCATACACTCCCATCTGTTATCATGATTTATCATACCACGAAATAAGGTATAAACCTTGCGCATTGGCCTGATCCAGCAAGCTCTTCTTCTGTTCTTATATTCAAACAATTCTTTCTTACTTTTGAAGTAGTAACATTTATTACTGCTGATTTACTAAAGGCTACTTTATAATTAGAGATACTTTTGAATTTGTCAAATTCAACATTCAAAGTAAGGGAGGTTGCACATGTATATCAGCAACATCTATGTGTATATTTGAGCTTATTTAAATTGTCAACTATTTTGAACCCTTCAATTTAAGGCAGAGGAACAGAAGGCACCCATGTCTGTTATCTTTGTTAAGCTCAAACCATGGGTTTGTTGTTGCCATCGCCATAGCTCTGGGTATACCATACCTATGGAAGTTTTGGTCCAATTTCTTCTGTACAGGCATATTCCTGGTCTCTCTATTCCACTAAGTTAAAGGTTGGTGGTTGCATCCACCAACACCATTCCCTGTGGACATCTGGCATGGGAGAGACTGCCCAATTTGAAGCAACCTGTTTGGGAAGCTTTATGTGCTACAAAATCTCCAACTGGATTGGTTGTTGTTACCCCTCAACACAATTTTGCTAATTTGCACTATTTGAGGGCTATCTGCTATCTGGTTGCAACGTTGTCCCATTTGGAAAGCCAAATAATCCTTCATTTATTTGAACTTGCCTGAAGTAATTTTGCCACTTCTGGTGCTCCATCCAGGCATTTGGGTTTAAATTAAAGTTCTGAGGTTATCTGTTCTTAAGCATCTATCTTGTTTGATAGCATAGTTATACCCATACTCCAATATTCTGTATTTAAGACCTGCCTTTTTATCTGGGCATTGACAGCCTTTGTTTGAGTGGGTATAATTCTGTAAGTACAATTTAAATTTCCTCTTTAGGCTTGCTCGTTATGGGCAGAAGAGACACATAGCATAGTAACAAAGAAGAAAGGACAATTCCACTCAAAGTCTCTTGACTGGAAAGAGAGCAACTTTAAGTGAGAATTCAGCAGGCAGCACCAGCAAACTGCATTGACACACCAGGGTTTCAACTATTTAAGAGCTACACACTGAAATCCTTATCCGGAAGCAAGCCCCACTGGGCACATTGATACTTAATACCAAGAAAACACACACAGGATTGTACCAACATAAAACTGAAAGGTGGGGGCATAAGAACCCACAGAGCATCTTACAATTACAGATTGCTGTGGGGGGTTGGGGTTAAACATTAACACATCCCCAAAAACAAAACCACGCAGCAGAACAATAGCAAAGCCATATAAAAAGATTGTCGGAAATTAAAAGCTCAGAATAAGAGGAGGGAGTCAAGTATAACTAAGGAAACATCCCTAGGAAGGGGACTTCTCAAGTCAGGGCGCCACCACAAACAAGGCTTTCACTAGGTGACCTTAACAGATCTGAAACCACCCTGGGTACTGAAACCATCCCTCCCCTGGCTGGCATAACACAATCAGAAAGCATGGTCTGAGGACGACCACCCACCACCTTCTAGGGGGCGGAAGAACTGGACACCGCGTGTATTCCGCCTTGGGTTGCGCAGCGGGAGAAAGGCGGCATACAAAAGTTGGGAAATAAATCCCAATATCGAGCAGCTAGCCACGTTCTCGGCGCTGACTGCTCCCTCAGCCTCCCAGCCAAGGCAAACCCTTCCTATAAAAGCCTCCCTCCCGCCTCCGCCTTTCCCTCAGCCCCGCTGCTGCCGACGCCTTTCTGGTCACCTCGCGAACGCAAAAGGGCTCATCCCTCTCCCTCAGCTCCAGGGCGACGGGTGCCTCACCGTCATCGTGGCTCGGCGAACTTGGCTCGGCGAACGCAGCAAAACCCACCAGAAAAGAAAAGAAAAAGCTTAGAGGCGGCGGGGTGTCCGTGACCGTTAAAAGTTACGCCAGCCGCCCGCCACCGGCTGCTGCTGCCGCCGCCGCTGCGCGAGGCTCCCATCCAGCCCCACAGCGGCTCCTCCGCCTCCGCCAGCCAACCAGCCCACCCGCCGCCTCTCTTTCTGCCCCGCAGCTCCCTCTCGTAGCCTAGGCAACCACCCGCCGCTCCACCTCCCTCTCCGCGCTGGGAAGCACGGACCAATCGCAGGCCGTCACGCCACGTGACCCTCCCGGGAGGCGGCAACGCTTAAAACTCGAGGCGGACGCAGTGACGGTTGAGGGGGGAAAGCCGTTGGGGCCTTCCCTCAGCGCCTGCCCCCCACGCGCCGCTTGGCAAGAGGAGGGAGTTTTAATAGCCGGGTATGTGGTGGGGTATGATTTCTATTGAGTGCGGCTGATAAGGGTCCCCTGCTCGCTCTCTCTCCGCCCCCCCCGCCACGAAATTAAAAGGCAATGGGGAGCGGGGAGCCGTTTCTGTGCTGTGGGCTGTCGCCACCCTTTACCCCTTGCCTACCACTTTTATATTCGGTATTTCTGATCTTGCAACGCAGCCTTGCGAATTTCATTTCGCAAAGGTCACCTTCCTGGGGCAGGTGATAATTAAAAGCAATATAAAGATATAATTCCTGCCGCAGTGATAATCCTATGTAAATACACTTGAGAGTAGGCCCATTGTATAGAGTCAGATTTACTTATGTAGTGCTGCAGGAAGGGATGGGGTGTCTGTCTCTCTCCTCTCACTGCTACCTCCCCCCCCCCCACCTCCAGTTTTATCTAATTATGCTAGTTGATAGAGAGCTGGTGCAAATCATGCCAGTGTAAATGGACAAAAAGGGGCATGTGGATGGTGGGAAGTGGGATTATTATTATTAATTGAATTTATATACAACCCTATACCCCGACGTCTCAGGGCACTTAATGGAATAAAATCAAAATATAAAACCACAAAATACATCATCAAAATAAAAACAACAACCCTAATAACCCCCCACTACCCAAAACCATATTTTAAAAGGGCATAGGATCATCACAACATTTCAAGTAAGACAATTAACAAAGCCACTCATTAGAAAGACCATTATCTCAAAAATGTCTGCAAGAATATTTATTGGCAACCAAATTGGCTGGGTGCTTTTCTGATACAGTTAAGCTGCATCATAACTGTTTACTGGTTCTTCCTGTGGTGCTTGGGATAACCTAACTACCAAAAATGCAGGTGTAACTAGAATTCACCATATAGGAGACAATGGAAAGGAACAAAATGAAAGTCCACATTGCACCCTCTCTACAAACTCTGAACAGTTAGGATCCAAGTGAATTTACACAGGTGATACTGGCATATCTTCCTGGGCATTGCTGTATAAGACTTGCATAGGATTGTGCTGTAATATATTTAAACTGAAAATGCACCTGGGACTATCAGTACGACTGCTGTGCTTTGAACAAGAGTATTGCTCACTGCTGCATGTATCGATAAAGCTAGTGAACTAGCCGCTGTGCACAAATACAGGGCCATCTACAATGTTTTTGTGCTAGTGCAAATTTGCATTTGGATTTCTAGGACAGAAAAGCCATCACTGACTCTCTTTGGTAATATTAGATCTTTCATTGTGGAGTAGCAAAGAGAACTTGACTCCGATTGCCGTGTTGTTTTCTATTAATCTTTGGGATTAAAGTGTCAGTCACTTGCTACTACTGAAATACCTTGCATATGCCCGACTCTTCGTGTGATGCAGTGGTTTTCAGATATTCTGCCTTCAGGAAATCCTTTTCATTTCAACTTGTTTCTTAGGGAAAGCTATGTAACCCCTGCAGAAGACAATGTATCCTTGAACATGACTCTTGCCTTCACCCTCCCAATTCCTATTGGACTTTCTATTTACCCTGTGTGAATGAAGAATGTACCCTAGATAGAACATACATAATATTCCATAGGCTTCATTTCAAAGGTCGCTGAGGGTTCTCTGAGTGTTTTGCATATTCAGATCCATTTAAGGCACCCACTCTTACTTCAGACAAGACCTTCTGATGTGATTACGGTACTTCAAGGCTTCTCTGTCAATTTCTGTACTCTGAAGACATGAGCTACATGTTACATATGGCATTTGCACAGGTGAGGCCTGAATCAACTATAATTGCACCGAATATGTGTTTCATCTCCCACATTAACAGTTTGGTCCTCTGCAGATTTTCCATTGCACTACTCTAAGAGACAAGGTGCGCTAGAGGTGTACCTTTTTAGAGGGAGATAACATGAAGAACTATCAGAAGCAGTGACAACCATTGCTTGCCTAATCCCTGCAGCCATCCTATGGAAGCAGCAGCTGTTTCTACCAGGAAACATTGGATGTTCCCTTCTGTTGGTGTAGTGCGTTCTTGGCTACATGAGTAAGGGCTACTCACCCATGAGCTTAGGAAATAGGGAATGATTCCTTGAGATTCTAAAAAGTATATTGATAGACCAGTGGATTTGATAGTCCTGTATGAGTTGTAGAAAACAAACCAGCTCTTTGTTATATCTGGTGAAGAGTTCAGTGTAACAGCAAAGCTTACTCGCCTGTTATTGTTCCACTTTATTGCCTAATTTTAATCACTTGTGGAAAAGCAAGAATGATCTATTTGAGATGTTAACTGAACTGACCCTTATGAGAAAGCAGAAGTATATGGAATATTATCTGTGTAGCTCAATGACAGAGACAGCTCTAAACGTTAGAGTCTAAAGACAGATCTGTACTTGTTATGACAGCTGTTGGAAACTGATGTCAATATTATATTACAGAGTATTTTAGTAATCTTTACTTCTACTAGTCCTAAAATATGTTTATGGTGTTATTTGAGACAGTTTGATTGTAGGAAGGAATCAATAATTGCTCCCATCTGTTGAGTAAATAAATAGTATATGTACATGTGGCTTTTGAAGTCAGTTTTGTTGAAAACATTGTGCAAAGGATTAAAGAATGTTTGTGTAGTGCTTTGGAAGTCTAAAGTATTATAAGTGCCAGGTATTATTATTAAATCCTGTATGAATCAGGCCCATGAAAGACTAAACCACCAGCGGGTTTTTTAAAGTGGCAGAATGCTGCACTGTGTTTTTTTATGTTATGCTTTTGCTTTTTACATTGCTTCTGGTTATTCTGCCTACATATATAGTTATTTATACCTTTCACATTTGTATCCTGCACTTTGAGGAGTTCTAAGTATACAGTGAATTTATTTAAACCATTTGTAGTCTGCCTTTCATTATCAAATGCTCAAGGCAGCTGACAACAAAATTAAACCACAATTAAAAATATCAGTTAGAAGCAACACAAAAACCCCTCCAATAATACCAACAGCAATGGTAAAAATTATTCCATAGCAGTAGGTTAAAACCAATACAATAAAACCACCATATAAAAACCAAAATTCTTCTTTAAACTGAAGTTTTGTTGTTCATGTTGCTAGTTTCTATATGGCCAGTGGCAGGTGGGGATAGGGTAAGACATATTTTCCACAGGAGGGAATTCCAGATTTTCAGGGGCAGCCATAAAAAAGGTCCTCTTCCTCTCCCAACCAAGCATTTTAGGGGATGCTGGGACCACAGGAGGGCTTTGAATATGATCTCAACAGACTGGCAGAATTTATACCATTTTGTTTTCTTCTTACAACTCATGTGATTTCACAGCTAGTTACCCATCCAAGCACTGAACAGACCCAGGCCTGCTTAGCTTCAGCAAGATGGTGGGCTCATGTTCTTTAAGATCTGGAGCAACTTTTGTCTCCAGACCCAATTCAAAGTGCTGCTTTTGACATAAGGCATTTCCTGGCTTGGGATCAGGGTACCTGAAGGACTACCTGTCCAGCATATTGGCATAACTGAACCTTAAGATATTGTTTTGGGGTTCTTTGGGATGCCCTGTAGGGTGAAGTGTGACCGAGGCCTTCTGTGGCCTTCTCAGAAGTGACAACATCCCCAGTTATCAGCTTTCCTAGCTTGCTATCAAGGTGGGTGTAGGCTTATTTTCCCAGGCTTTAAATCTGTTCTTAATTTTGATTTATTTTAACTGGTTTACGTTTTTAAAGTTGTTCTTATATGTTGACACCGATTGGAGGTTTTTTCCTAATAATTGTCACACAGGAGGTTTTTTGTTTTTTAAAAAAACAAACAAACACAAGATTGTGGCTGGTGATGGAAGAATAATTCTAGAGTGGGTTCTAGAATTTTGCTGGAACTCTGTTTAGCTACCATTACAAATGTTTTTGGTGGCTGTGGTGAGATTATTATTTGGTGTGTGAAAGTTATAGGTATCAATTTAATAGACAAGTTCACTTATGCCTATTAAAATCAATAGAAAGGGGTGTCTAACTTTGTATTAGATTGTGTCTGGTATGTTTCCAGAGTGACTGTTTCTAGAATGTGAAATATTGGAAGGGATATTAATTGCAGCAAAGACAGGGCATGCTTATTTCACACCTGGCTTCTTAGATTGTCCACCTGTTTCATATATCTTCAGAAATTCAAGTGTAATTTATAATAAAATGAGGCCATCCCACTGACATGACCTAATGACAATTTACTACTTTTTCACTTTAAAAATTCCATGCCAGCTGTATTTCAAAAAAGGAAAATATGGCATATAAAATTGTTTATGTCATTAATGGTCACTATATTAACATGTGCTTGCACTAACCTAGTTATCAATATTGCTGATGTGCCAAGAGTTAAAGAATTTGATAATCCACCACTATCTTCTAAAGATACTGAATAAATTAAAACTGATGACAGGAATTTTGGCTATTTTAAACAGTCCTTTTAAAGTGAAAAGTTGTTGAAGGAAGAAAAGACGGAGCAAGAGACCTCTATTAGATAAAATTAGAAGTCTTTGAAATATTTATATAATAACCTACAGACCCAAAAGAAGAGGTTGTGAGAAAAAGTTGCTAGACGTATACTCTTAGACAAATCTTATAACAGTCAATTAGGGCAGATTATTGATTATTGATGTAAAATTAAACCCTATAAAAGCTCGATACTGTATGTATTGCCCTGATAATAGCCAAAAGCAGCCTTGTGGAAAAATAGATTTCATGAATGGATTGTGGGTGGGTGGATTGAAAATGAGTTTGTAATAGCAAGTGACTCCAATAGGTTAGTTAATAAGAAAGAGGATCCCAGAGGCACTGAATTTACCACAGCACATCTTCTGTAACTGATTATACTGTTGCTTCAATATATAATTTAGTAAAATTAAGAAAGCAATATTTATGTTGATCACAATGTGCCTGTGACAATAAAATTAGTGTAGGAAGAAAAAAAATGATTTTTTGGGAATTTTTGAAGATTGAATACTAATCTGTTATAAAATAAGGATATAAAAGAAATTGAAATGGGGAAATACTGTAAACTTGTTCTAAAAAAAATAAGTTGGGTAACTGTACAGAATCTGTTTAAAGCCTCATGAGAGTCATGTCTTTAAGTTGTAGCTCTAAAAGCAGGAAGAAAAAACATTTAAAATATTGACAGACTTTACATTAGGGTTCTTAAACAACTATCTGGAGACCTAAATTGATCCCAGTTTACTGTATGGGATGAGTTCTTTAAAATTCTCATCTATCCGGTTTTCATGCATGCAGAGCACCAGCAATTGAGGACCATATTTTCAGAAAGTCTTCCATTTAAGTTAATAAAACAACTAATATTCTTCAAGTATATAAATGTTTAGCCAGAGGTCATGGTATAGATTATCAGTCCTAAAAAATATGGTCATGATCTCATGTTGAGAGGCTGTGTTTTCAAACATAACATCCAAAACCCTTTAACAGATGTTCAAGACTAAAATATGTTAAGAGCAGTTAATCCTCAGTTAGCATGTTTTAGGTATTAGCTGCTTTTCTTTTTAAGCAGGAGTTGGTGATCTGCTTTATATTTCATTTCTTTTACTCTCATGTTGAAAAATACTGGGATTTGTTAATTCTCTTTATTTAAAAAAACCCACACCCTGAAATTGTTTGAAGTATGCAGCGTCTGATTAAGATACGGAGATATGAACAAGCATATAATATAGCCTACATTGTTTTTCCTGTTTAAAATTCAAAAAAAGAATAGAGTGGATTTTTAAGAGTGATCATCAGATGAAAGGCAGTAGAGAAAATAAATAAAGTGTGTGTTAATCTTATTTACAAATAAAAGTAACATTTATGATATTCTTTTTATGATTAGTAGGCCCTTAGTCTGTAATCCTAAACATAGGGAGTAATGCCTCTTGGATGCAGTGGGACTTACTGAGTAAACATGCTTAGGACTGTGCTGTTACTACTAAAACATAAAGCTTTTAATGAATATATAAACATGGCCATAAATTGCCATCATAATTATGCATTGCCTCCCAGAGACATACATGTGTTGTTTCTTGAATGAATAGGATTGCAACTTTGCACATTGATTTTGTGCCAATGCAAGGGTTAGCCCATTGAGTGCTTCCAGCATCTCCTTCTGTACATGGCGCTCTCCTGACAATGTAGTCAGTTGGAGAACCTGACCTGGAGAACACACAGACACGTGGATTGAAGCTAGAGTCTTCAATGCTATGACAAGATACAACATATAATAACTTCTCGGAAGTGCATCATTGAGTTCAACAGGACTTACTCCCAGGTAAATGCATAAGCATGCTTATTAGAGAATAAGCTACACTGAATTCTGTGGGACTTCATTCAGAGTAAACATGCAAAGTTAGAGTAGTTGTGCTCTTTAGTTTATAGTTCAGTGTTTTCACTTCATGGACAACTCCATTTTTTAAACACATTTGCTTAGAGGTGAGCCCCCCGATTTCAATGGAACCCTAAGAGTATATAGCATGAGGGTAACTAGGCATGGAGTTACAAGTACAGATCATGATCCTCAAATAATTTCAATACACATTCCATTTATTTTCTGAAATTGTGAGAATGCATACGTGTAAAGATTTTAGCTGCTTATGTACTCACTAAGCGAACCTGAACAACTCTTAAGATTTACATATGTAACTTTTTATGTATTCCAACTGTGTATTGAAAAACACAGAGTGTTCCAAGAACACTAGTTACTATCAGTGCTTTCAATTTCTTTTCTGAACCATGTTTTGAGGTTTATTCTTATTAAAATATCGCACAATAAATTCCCCAAACAAGACTGTTGTTAAAATATTTCCTACATTCAACCATATGCCTTTCTCAAACTGTAATTATCTGCATGGATGTTTAATATCATTTATGCAACTTTCAAGCTAGCTTTTGTTTCATTAAAAAAATCAAAACCGACAGCCTGTCAATGCATTGTAAGATTAAAATGAAATAAAAAATACAGTACCTGATGAATGCTGTTGTTTATCCAATAGCCACCCTTTCTGCAACTGAATTTCACTCTGCCAGAGCTTCTGCATTAAATGCCTTCATCTCCTTAAAAAAAAAAAAAAAGTATGTCAGCACAAGCCCAGGCAAAATTCAAATCCAGGAAAATAAAATTAAGCACGCAGATCAAAGGGAGACGAGCAGTGCCTGTAATCTGATCAGTGATCTGTTGCCATACATCAAAGGCAGTGCTTGGGAGACTGGAGAGAAAGAACTTTCTTTATAGCAGGTAGTTGTGCTCCATTCTCTCCCTTTCTCTTGTCTCAAATATGGTTAATAAAAAGTCATCGCTATAAGCCCACCTACCCTCCTTTTTGGTTGTGAGGAGGGGAAAAACATGTTTCTTGGAGCTGAATGGCTAGATCTGTAGTCCTCTCTCTCTCTCTCTCTCTCTCTCTCTCTTTTCTTTTTGTTCCCAAGCTGTGCTCGTTGTGGATTGTGTGTTGGAAGCTTTCCCCAGTGCCAGCGGGTTCCGCTTTATGCCTTTCATCTTGCTGAGCTGATCCCATGACATCATTCAATGCTGTGGGACTGGTTGGAGAGCTATAATACAGCCTGTGGGGAAACACAGCTGAACTGCAACAAGAGTCTGTGCAGTTTTTAATTGAGTTAGCTGTCGTAAACAGTGCAAGAATGTCCTTCAAAAGTTTCTGTTATTTGGAATTTTCATATGAAGTCACGAAAGAGGCAGTGCATTTTACATGTCCTTGTGTAATAAAGTTATCAGATAATCTTCAAGTAAGGGTATCTTCCAGCATTGTGACTGACCAAAATCAAAATTTCCCACACGGGCTTAAATGATAAACTTGTAGGATGATTTGTAACAGCTGCCAATAAATTACCATTGAAACCACCAAAAGAAAGAACAGATTCCCACATTCAATTCCAGTACCAAAGAGGCTTTAGAGAAAAATGTCCTAATAAGTCTACAAATTTTTAAGCAACTTGAATTCAGTTGGACACCAGTGTGTTCTGAATGGGGGGGGGGAACATAGTCCAAGCCTGTGCACGTTTACTCAGAAGTTAGTTCCGCTGATTGGGACTTCCTGATAAGTAAATCTGCATACTCTCACAGGATTAATGTGAACTGGATGAACTATGACAGTAAGAGGGAGCCTTTGGAGACAATTGCATTGCTTTGCTCATCATGGCTACTGGTACCTTGTGCAACACTGTTAAGTACTTCTGTATCCCTTAATCTGTTCTTCTTTCTTCTGGTCTTGCTGGATGCTGATTTCTTTCCTCTGTTGTCTGGAGTAGAAATTTCACACTTCTTCTGGCTTAGAGAGCTGCAAAGTCTTCCTCTGCATCAGGAGTGGTGCATTGATGGGAAAATACTAATATGCTTATGAGTAAGCACAGGGACAGGAAGCACATGTTGTCACCAAAGTTACTCAAAGCTCCACCTTCTCAACCACCAACACCACCACACACCTGTGCCCATTTTTCATTACTGGAGGAAAAAATGTGAGCAATACACCTCTACTCACACAGTGAACATGTGAGGGTCTAGATTAACCTTGTGCAACCTAATCCCCCCCCAGATGTGTTGGACTACAACTCCCATCAACCAAGCCAGTACAACTGGGCTAGCTGTGGTGAATGGGAGTCGTAGACCAAAACACCCAGAAGGAACCAAGTTGGAGAAGGCTGATCCAGCTAAACAAAGCATTGTCATTAGCAAGGCACAGGTCCTGGTACAAATCTATGGTCCTGTTGACTAGGGGATTTGAATGTGGGACCCGCTTCACTGGACTGCAGTCCGTGTCATCTTGTAAGTAGGAGAACAAAAGGCCAGGAGCCAGTCTTGGTCTGGAGCTGGAAGCTGGAAAGAGACAGAGGCTAAACTTGTTCTTTGCTCCCCCCCCCCAAAAAAAAACACAACAACAACAGTGGGGAGCAAGCAAAACCTGTTATTAATTTGGTCAGTCCTTCCATCTTATGCTCACATTATATATGTGTGTAAATAAAGCAATATATCCTAAAGATGCCCCAGTATTCAGTGACCTTTATTCCAAGGAACTCAAACCCTGAGTAAGTGCCGGCAACCCTGGAATCTCTCACAACTCAGAGATTGGGGTGCACGCAACAGTACTATATCTTGGAAACACTCAATGAAAGTGACTGGCAATAGATTCAGGACAAATGTAAGAAAGTACTTCTTTACTTTATGGAATTTGCTGCCATAAAATGTGATGATGGCCACTGGCGTAGATGGCTTTAAAGGGGAACTAGACACATTCATGAAGGATTTGTCTACCAATGGCTATGAGTCATGTCAATATGTAGCCTCTAAGTTCAGCAGTATGCCACTACAAATTAGCTTCTGGGGAGCAGCCATGGGAGCATTGTGAGCTTCCTAGTTGGCCATTTGGACTAGGATCTTTGGTTTGGTTCAGTGGAATTCTTATTGTGTCCTGATCTACTTGCAGGGAGGGTTGGATAGAAATTCAGAACTTTCATATTTTGCACTAATAATGCACAAATAAAACACACAAACATATATAGTGCAAAACATGCTCAGTTTGAATGCTTTATCTGACCTTGATATCTGAGTGGTTATATAATTGGGATTTTGATTTTGAAAAGGATATGATCGTAGGAAGAAAGAACTTTGTAACTATGAGATGGGGAACTTGTGGTTTTTCAGATATCAATGAGCTCCAAGTTCCATCAGCCCCAAACAACGCTTCAAATGATCAGGAATGATGTGAGTTGTACAGTGGTGCCCCGCAAGACGAATGCCTCGCAAGACGGAAAACTCGCTAGACGAAAGGGTTTTCCGTTTTTTGAGCTGCTTCGCAAGACGAATTTCCCTATGGGCTTGCTTCGCAAGATGAAAACGAAAACGTCTTGCAAGTTTGTTTCCTTTTTCTTAACACCGTTAATACAGTTGCGACTTGACTTCGAGGAGCAACTCATAGAACGCGGTGTGGTAGCCTTTTTTGAGGTTTTTGAAGACTTTGGTGATTTTTGAAGCTTTTCCAAAACGTCTTTTAAACTTTTAAAACTTTTTTGGGGGGGGTTTGGATTTTGGGTTGGGGTGTTTGGAATTCAAGGACTTGGTGTTGGGGAGGGGTTTGCAAGAATCTGGAAGCTTGTGTGTTTTTTTCTGCATTTTTATGATTTTCTGTGACCATTGGGCCACTCTGCTGTTTTTTTAAAAATTCTGGATTTGAATTTCTGTGTGGTGGGTGGCTGGGGAACAGTTGAGGAGGGGTTTGCAAGAATCTGGAAGCTTGTGTGGTTTTTTCTGAATTTTTATGATTTTTATTGTTCCTTCAATTTTTGAATTTATTGTTCCTTCAATTTTTGAAATGCTCTTTACAGTATGTGTGACTTTAAAGAGCACTTAATAAACTCTTGTTGTACCAAATTTGCTTTGTTTGGACTTTTTTTGACCATAGGAACACATTAATTGAATTTCAATGCATTCCTATGGGATTTCGTGCTTCGCAAGACGAAAAATTCGCTAGACGAAAAAACTCGCGGAACGAATTAATTTCATCTTGCGAGGCACCACTGTAATCCAATACCGCTGCGGTGGGAAGGTGAATGGCATTTCTCTGTGCTCTGGCTTCCGTCATGGTGCTCCGTTGTGCCAGAAGCGGTTTAGTCATGCTGGCCACATGACCCGGAAAGTTGTCTGTGGACAAACGCCAGCTCCCTCAGCCTGAAGCAAGATGAGCGCCACACCCCATAGTCGCCTTTGATTAGACTTACCCGTCCAGGGGTCCTTTAAGGAGTAAAGGGACCCCTGACCATTAGGTCCAGTCGTGGCCGACTCTGGGGTTGCGATGCTCATCTCGCTTTATTGGCCGAGGGAGCTGGCACACAGCTTCCGGGTCATGTGGCCAGCATGACTAAGCCACTTCTGGTGAACCAGAGCAGCACACAGAAATGCCGTTTACCTTCCTGCCGGAGCGGTACCTATTTATCTACCTGCACTTTGACATGCTTTCGAACTGCTAGGTTGGCAGGAGCAGGGACCGAGCAATGGGAGCTCACCCGGTTGCGGAGATTCGAACCGCTGACCTGATCGGCAGGTCCTAGGCTCTGTGGTTTAACCCACAGTGCCACCTTTACCTTAATCCAATAACACCTGGAGAGCCAAAGACTCCCCAATAATTGTAAGCAAAAGCCATATGTATAAGTAGGTGTGGTTATGAGCTAATAATAATAATAATAATAATAATAATAATTTATTATTTATAACCCACTCATCTGGCTGGGTTTCCCCAGCCACTCTGGGCGGCTTCCAACAGAACACTAAAATACAATAATCTATTAAACATTAAAAGCTTCCCTAAACTTCCCTAGTAAGGACAGTAATTTCACCCCCTTGATAATGTTGCATTTCGCAGCTTTAGAAGAAGAAGAAGAAGAGTTTGGATTTGATATCCCGCCTTTCACTCCCCTTTAGGAGTCTCAAAGCAGCTAACAATCTTCTTTTCCCTTCCTCCCCCACAACAAACACTGTGAGGTGAGTGGGGCTGAGAGACTTCAAAGAAGTGTGACTAGCCCAAGGTCACCCAGCAGCTGCATGTGGAGGAGCGGAGACACGAACCCGGTTCCCCAGATTACGAGACTACCGCTCTTAACCACTACACCACACTGGCTATTTTATTTATTAATTTTTTCAGTCACTTTATCTTGCCAGGGTTAATCCAAAGTGACTTACAACCAACCAAACAGACCACAAACCCCACATAAATACATTAAAACCAAGAGGAAAGAGAAATACATTAAAAACACCCACTTCTAAAAGGCCGCATATAGTTAAAGGCCAGAGGCCTGGTTATAAATGAAGGTTTTTGCCTGTGTGAATCTGTTCTGGGTTTTTTTTAATTGGCTGTGGATAAGTGTTTGTTCTTGAGAACTGGGATACGCTAATAAAACACCAGCATGATGTGGATGAGCTGCCATGTGGGTGAAGAGGGAATGGGAAAACCTGGGCACTAATTCTTGAAGTTCAAAGTTCTTAGAACAACCAGCTTGAATGGAAAGGAAAAGCAAGAGTAAAATGGTCTTTCAGCAGAGATAATACTGCTGCTGCTGCTGCTGCTGCTGCTGCTGCTACTAATAATACCCCCCACATCTGGCTGGGTTTCCCCAGTCACTCTGGGCAGATTCCAGCACTTACCCCGTATCCCATACTCATGGCCAACTGGTTGGAATGACTGCATCTAGCTGTCAGCTGAGGGAGAAATGAGCCCAATGGAGCTGGTTGCCCAGCAGAGCCAATGCAGTGGTCCTCCTCCTGCTCCCCAGTTCTCTGTCTAGTGCAGCCTGACTGAGATCTTCTGGAGTCAAAAGACCATAAACGATGTTGATTGTTTCCAGCCTCCTGGTGGCCTAGCCTTGACTCCTGTGTTGTGTGAACTTTTATATGACCTCAAAAGTCTCCCCCACCCCCTGCTATGAATTCTTTATACAGAGGAGTGGCTTTAATATAACTCTTGATAGAGGCTCATAAAATTTTTATATGCTTTATTTTTTCCATGTGTGT